ATTGACTCAATCTGAATCCATATAAAAAGTATCCATGGTACAACGATACATTTTTTCACCATTGGTCACTCTGGCTCATTATTATGCAGGTTTGTGTAACCCTGCATGCCTTAATTTGGCCACAGTTACAAAAGTTCCACTTTTCATGCAATGAATTGAGCTAAACAAACTTCCCTCTGCCGAGAGCTATTATAGAATTGTAATATTGCACAATTGTTCTACCATATAATGTTCTGTCAGTCATCTGACAGATTACATTCTTGGCTCAGGCCTCTTCAAACATCTTCACTCTGACACAATGCAACCTGTGCTGCAGCAAAACAACATCTTTTTTTCTTGTACTATGAATCCAACATCACATTTCAACAATACGGCAGCTCAATCAAGCAATTTTTGTTTGAATGTGTATCAGCAAAAGCATTCAATCCCTAGAAACCTCAGTGTGGGCAGTGGTGGGGTAAATATGAAAGTCAAATATATTACAGGCCTCTTTTTCATCTGCCAATTAACCGAGACAAGAGCTCTACAGTGAGCAGCACAGACGAAAAACCACAACAAATGTTTAAAAGGAAAGTTCTTTTCAAATGCTTTCAGGATAATGGAAACCAATTAGTGAAAATACAAAGTGGACAAAGGGCACAGCAGTCAAAACCCGCACAAGTCAGCCAAACGCTAAATGCCCATGTCCCCTACAGCGCTGAACATGATTGTTTTTGTCACAAAGGCTGAAGCTTCTTCCATGGTACCAGAACATCCTTATTCTCCTTCATGTGAAAAGAATCATATCAGTGAAGTACAATAAGGTGCCACTGTTGGAGCAGTCAGGCAACTGAAAAACTGATCCACAAAGTAAATCAAATGGATGATGTTCTCCACAATGAAAAAAATGTTTAAGCACTTAGAATAAATAATAAATTTGTATTGTAGTCAAGATCACCTAACCCAAGTCTAAGTCAAGACCTGAGTGTATTAAGCTAGTTTATCCATAGTGGAAAAAACTCTTCAAGTTATTTCTTAACCCACCCGCAGTCTTAGTGCGATGCTCAGGAGGAGCGTGGCAGATGTCACGGTTGGACAGAGGGAAAGCCAGAAGCACACAAGGGGTCAGTGCGACCCTGGCTGACCGCTTACAAGGCGCCCAAATGACACCATCTCATAAGACTGTGGAAGAGTTACAAAAATGTATGCTTACTTTTAAAAGACTTTAAAAGCCACCTAAAAAATCTGGTAGTGTTACATGTACGTAGACTGTCAGCAAATTAGCAATGCTTGGACAGGAAATCAGGAAAAACATTCTCTGCTTGCTTACCACTCCAGTTTTCGTTCAGACAAGGAGGCCATAGTGAGAAAGAAAGGAAAAGCTCCCATGCCATCCATGAGCCAGTGCAGTGCTCATCCTGTCTCGTCCACACGCAAAGAGACGGATGCATAACTTACCACCATCTATGATTCTTTGAACTGTGAGGCAGAGGCTGCTCTGATCACCTCCACACGGGGAATTTCAGCTCTGATGTGGTTGAGAGAGAGGGCTCAAGATCAATTACATTTTCCAGTTGACTGTCATTCAAATGCTGCTTTAAGTTTAAAATTCAAAGGTATTCTGACTAGATAGGAGATCTTCACAGCAGTGTGTCAGACAGCTTGTCTGTAAAAAATGTTTCATCTGAAGAGCAGAGAGGAAGACCCGAGGCGACCAAACTGTTGATTGAAAGGCATTCTTGGCATTTATCCAGATTTTCCACAACGTCATGACCTAATCGTCCTCTGGAGAGAAAGCCGCCTCATCTCACCTGCGTCTTGGCAGCTCTTTGATATGATTTTTTGTTGTCGAACAAGATGAAGGCTGCATGCAAGATCAATCGGTCCATTTAAATCTGCGATCCCACCGAAACATCTAGACATGCCACTCTGAACAGGATTTCAGCTACACAGACTGGAAAACTACAGAGAAGACTGACACTATAGGGACAGAGGAATGCTTCATCAATCCCTTCTACCCTTGACTATCACTGATGAAACGAGAGACAAACTCAAAATATATTTTACCTGAACTCTTCTTAGTACGTTCTCTAAAGCACAGAAATAGGTTTGAAATTATTTAGCGCTATGTGTCGTAATCGTGCTCTGAAAATTAAAACTCACCCATTAGAAACTGAAAAGTATTCCTGCAAACTTCAATGCCTCCAATTATATAAGTAGTCCAGGTGTGTTTCCACCAGAATATTTCTTCAAAGTAAGGACGATACGTCTGTTAGCTTCAAGACGTCCAAACATTCTCATGTCCTGTCTATCTTTCTGATGCTAAACAATCCACCTGCACGTTGTAAATGAACTCTGGAGAAAGTTTGCGGCTGAACGACAGCGTCCCAAATCTTCTTCAGATGTTGTTGCGACGATAGCGTCAGACATGTTGCTTCCAGCTTTTCCACTTTGAGTCCAAAGCATTCTTCAGCTTCAGCTCACTTCTAAATGGAAACTCAGAATTAAGTAACCATATGTTCCTTTTAAATGTATTTGGGTGAAATCAATAAGAAAAGCTTGTGACTGGCCAATAAAAGCCGTTATGTTAATCAGCTGTGGGCCCAAAGCACAGAAACTCAATAGGCTGCTGACTCCAGTTTACTGTGTGAAAAAGCTGAATTCAAACACAAAGTTTACCATTTTAAAACTCCTCAAACTGCTATTTAAGGGGTGGATTGTTCATGACTAGCTTATTTTGTTAAAAACAACAGAAATTACTATTTTCTCAGATGACTTGTTCCTGGTTTTGCTGTAATGTACATATATTCACACACATTGACGTGTGTCAAGGAAAGCTGGAAGTAAGTCTGCAACTTTTCGGATTGTAAGACAGTTATCCCTGTGAGCAACTGAGGCTCGGAAAATAAAGTAGCTTTCACAGTCAGTCCTGTTTCGTAAATGGGGTTTAATAATTTGGTTCTCCTGTCGTCACTGTGACGCATCAGACCCTTACTGCTCTAAAAGAACAACCAAAACACGTTGCATCTGCAGGAGGCTACAGCCTCAGTGTTGTTCTCAGCATTCATCACATAAGAACAAAATTAATATTTGATTTGCATCGGTACGGCCAAGTCTTTGTGCCTCGTAGCAATGTTCTGAGGAAATGAAAAGCCTTCCACACACACAAGGTTTGCCCCGTTAAGACTTTTAGAATAACATTTAAGAAGAAAAAGTTAACTCAAAGTTGTGCAAACTTTTGAAATGTCCAAAAAAGTCCATAGCTCTCATTACCAAGAACCAGCCTAACATTATAGTTTTCTTCCTGCCAGGTCAGTTGTGTTCACGTGGCTTTTTCCATGTCGTGTTAGCGCAGCTGTCCAGCTGCTGCAGGCCTGCAGTCACACCCGCAGCTCTCCTGGCCTGCCGTGACGGTCGGCGAGGCAACATCTGCACTACTGCAGCGGCGCAGCGGTTCGCATCCTGACAGGAAACATGCAGAGAGGAAGCAACCAAAGCAGCAGCTTTACTGCACATTTAGAAGCTGTGCAGGAAAGAGACTCGTGCCATGCCAGGCTTAATGACAGATATAGAAGTGTGGTTCATGCTATTAACCCTTGTATGTAGAAATGGGGTCCAACCGACCCCACACACGTAAAACTTGTATCATTTTCCATAGTCCTCTACGTTTGCTTCAGTCCTCACACACCCAAGGGTTAATTTTTTTTTTTTTAGTAGAATTTTGTGGGACTCTTAGGTTTTGTTTATTGTTAGGAGCTTGACAAGAAGAACGGAAGAGAGAGAAGAAGAAGAAGAAGACGTGCAGTAAATAGCCCAGGACCGGGAATCGTACCAGGATAGCTGCACTGAGCGCTACATCCTAAAATATGGTGCGCCTGCTTGACCACTGAGCAGTTTACTAATGTTGCTTTTAATGTTGTTTTCAATGAAATATGCTTGCTATGTGAATTGCTCATACAGCTTAATGGTAGAAAAGCCATTCTGAAGGCACATACGGGTAGAAATAAAACCACTGTAATGGGTCAGACAGGAATAAAACTAATTTTATGGCAGTAACACCATAAATGTCGACAATTAATGTCACCAAAAGTTCTGAAAGCACAAGCATCTCACTTTTTAGGACTTTAAATGCTTATGTTAGATTGTTTTGTTCTCTAGTGGCATTTTAATGAATAACACGCAGACAGGAAATAGGAGAGAGAAGGTGATTTTGTAAGATTTTCTATAGCATAATATCTTAGTACACTAGACATAAGATCAAACTAACTTACAAGTAACTTTTCAGCAAGATATTGGCACTTGCTTTAAGTCAATAATTCCTTAATACTGATTAAAATATATGTTCTTTTGCCAGACTATTTCACTTATAACATGGGAAAATGTCTTGTAATATGTGAAATAATCTTTTTCATTATTATTAACAAATTATCTACTTAAAACAAGCTCCTATGTCTTTCTGAAAAGTTACCTGTATGTCAAGTGTACTAAGACAGCTGCACTAGAAACAAAACCAAAACCACTTAGTGAGATTTAGTGTTTCTGCAGTGAATTTGAAGTCCAAATAAGCAGAAGCTGTAAAACATGGCTGTCACACAAAACAGTGGACCTTGGGTGTGCTAACTTGACTCTGAGCTACAGAAACACAAGGAGTGCATTGGTAAAAATAAAATAAAATAAAATTAAATTAAAGTTTAATGATTTAATTTTAAACGTGACCAGAAATGTGACTGATCAATAAAATTGATTTATCACCCAGCCCTACGATGTAGCAAAAACACTTTTAAGTATTTCAGACTCTTTTGTGCCGCAGTTACTACTTAGTAACAAAATTGGCATCAAAGAGGGAGCTAAAAAGTCAAAGGTAGGTGTGTTTCCTGCCAGCTGCAGGGTTCAGGTGGATACATCAGCCTGGTCTCTCTGGAGGCAGGAGCACAACAGCATGATCCTGAGAATTAATTATCCCCACAACAGCAGTGAAGTGTAACAGACTGGGATGATGTAATCTTGGAGGCCATCTTCACCTCATAATGGGCCACCCTCTGGGACTCGGAGATGAGCTGAGCGCTGCACACTTTGCAGTAGCTGTCTGTGAATAGCCCTTGGTCCACCTCTGTAGACTTCATCTGGAAAGAAAGACAAACGCAGGAATGGAGATCAGAATTACAGTTAACATACTAATTCCTCTGCAGTGTGCAGTCAAGAGTTTTAATCTCACTTCAGTAGTTATAGAACTCAAATAAGAACAGTTGATTTCTCTCAATCACAAAGCTTCATGGCGTTGATGTGTGCATGTTGGGGAGGTTTTTGCTTGGCCCACGTCCAGCACAAGAGCAAATGTTTAACATTATGTGTTCACTGTTCCAGGTTTGTTTTTCCTTAGATTTTTGGAACTGCATTCACCAAACTACTAGAGGAGATTTCCTGCAGATGTGGATGCTTGAATCAGTCAGAAAACGGCCTGGGGAGGGGCTCACTGGTGTGTCCAGTCATTTTCATGTGGCAGAATGAATTTTCTTATAGTATCAAATTCTGCTATGGCATTAAAGTGTTTGCTGGTGCTGACCACCTGGTTAGACACACAGTCCTTCAGTCTCACAAACCATAGACTGCTTGTGAGGTAGTCATAGATCCAGGTGAGTGCTGAGGCCTCCACCTGTGTCAAAGCAAATCAGGCTAAATTTCATTAAATGCACTGGAGAAATCAACATGATCTTCACAGAGCTGCCTGCTTTGTCCTGATGACAGTGGGTTTGTGGAAGCAGGTGTATGGCATCTTCAACTCCAACTCCAAACTGCAGGGGGTCCTGATATGCATTTGTTTGCCTTCTCAGGTAAGCCGACGGCATCACATCTCATACTTCCATTGTCCCTAATCAATATTTTATCACCTGAAGCATTTAGCGTCAGGACTAGATGCTGAGCAGCCTTGGAAAGCACTCGGCCAGAAAAACCATCCTGTGCCAAACATCCTGTTTCGGACTCGACACTAAACTTCTATTTCACAATGATAAATAAATTACTACAGCAGATCAGGCTGGCAGGTTTTCCTGGAAATCCATTAAAATATATGATGGAACTTTGGTCTAAGCGTTACACAAAAATATAAGGCGCACCACAGAGCGTTCAGCTTTACAGCTGGGCCCTCTCTTATTGCAATTATTAATTCAGTCAGGCTTCTATCAGGGGCTCACATTTCATATTTGGATGCAGTCAGGCTGAACCCAATCACTATCTCTGGGCACGTCTTCATTATGAGAAGCAGCAGACATGAGAACTGACTATATGTATTTTGAAGCAAACTTTCATTGATGTCTTTGAATGCAAATAAGACCGGCAAGCAAATTGTGTTATTTTAAGTTGTCCTCCAACTTCTCCTCACAAACCCACAACTTGCTCATTAACATTTCTTTAAGCATATTATTAGGCCTTTCTATTTGTTCTACAGAAATGACATGCATGTGATTAACTGATGATGATAAAGGGTGTAACAAATTTAAGATGGAAAAATAAATTCTTGTGAAGGTTTTAGAAAAGTCAAAACTCGTTGCTGTCCAGCAATTAGTTATTAATGGCTAAATAAATGTAAGATATATATAAGCTTTGCACATTAAGGTGTGTGCTTTGCTTACACCTCATTGCTGGTTTAGTCTCTTATTTTGAAATAAGACATCAGGTTCCCCCAGTACTTTAAAAGCCTGGTGGGCCACCAGGCTTTTCTTGCACCCCCACCAGGCTTAGTGTTGTTTGTTTATTATATGTTTTATTTTATAAACCAGTAACAATGTTAGGGGTTAAAGAGTCTCTTCAGCAAAATGGTTGGTCAGTATTTGAACACACAGGGGATCTGAGGACAGGTGTCTTTTTTTATTCACTGGAACTCTGTAACCACATCGGGTAAAGACGGCTTGTCTTCACCGGTCTACACACTAACAACTTCAGCAAATAAAGTGACAAGACACGTATAAAGAATCAAAAAGTTTTGATTCATACTTTAATTAATATGAAACAACTGAAGTGGAAAAAATGTGTGTTTTATGTTTGCCTTTTTAATACCTTGCACTTGGTGTTGTATTGTTAATAATGTCTTCCAAAAAACACATAATTACCTCGTCATATTTTCAAATTTCCTGTCAACTATAAGCATTTTTTAACTCAGAAACACAGCGGATGTTTAGCTCCTCTTTCACCAGGCTTAGCAAAACTTCTAGAGGAAACCCTGAGAAAAGAAGGAGTCATTTATTTACCCGGTTGTGTTGACAGAGGCAATTAATAAAAGCTGTTCCTCAGGCTTGGCTGACAATTACTCACAAAAATATGAAAAGTTTTAAAACCGTTTTTACTTTTAATTATAGGTACTTGGTTGGCAAAGAAACAGTGACAGAGTGACAAATTATTTGTAAGCACTATGAGAACTAAGTGTTAGCTGCCAACAACATCAAAATTAGCATCTGCTTCAGAGCTTCTTAAACTGGTTTAGGATATTCCCAGTTTTCACAGTGAAAACCTATAAAATGCTTTGCTACTATCAAAGTATTGCCAAGATTGGGGTGATTGGTAAAAGCAAAAGGAACCTTTATAAAAATGTTACTGTTGCAAAACATACTGTATTTCAAAACTGCTGAATGTTCCAGTGAGTATTATTGAAGACTAATTTCGGTATAACTGGTCAGGGCCACAAACCCATGTAGGATTTCTGAAAAAAAGAGTCATGACAATGATCAATACAGTTGATAAAATAGCCTTGGAGGACCAAAAAGATACGGAAATACCAGACAGTTTTTCCCATTCAAACAATAAGCGATTGCTCAGTTGCAATGGCTTCCCTGCACAAGACTCCACTGCTGAAGAAAAAACACATTGAGGCTTATTTAAAGTTGAGAGCAAAGGTTTTGGACTGTCCAGTATAAATGCTGATAATCAGATCCCAAATCAGGACTCTTTGGGTGTCATTGGACACATCATGTTTGGAGGAAAAATAGAAGCTGAATAAAACTGGAGGTAGGATGAAGAGGGAGATGTATTTTCTTCACAAGAGACTGAAGTTGAAACAAATGTGAATTTTAGTTAACAGCAAAGAAAACTCTTAATTGGTTTTCAGAGTGCATAGAATGAAACCCCAGAACCTGTGAAGATTTGAAGACAGCTTGGCAGAATGGGTCAAAATTACACCTGACTAGTGTCTATTTGAAGATTTTCTTATAAATTAAGCAGTTTCCACAAAGTCTTTACTACATTTCCTTTGGTATGTTCAATACTTATTCCCTGTTTCCTTCCACTTCTGTACCAATAACTACATTAGTGAACTATTTTGCTTTGAATTCTTTGTATCTGTGGAGTTGTTGACATGTCGTGAATCATTTACATACTAAAACTGAGAAAACTGTTGACGTATTCAATGCTCATTTTACAAGCTGTAGATCATTAGGAATATTACAAAGAATCAAAACCAAGAGCAAGTCATCATAGGAGGATTTATTCTAATGTAAAATTTAAAAAGAAAGTCCCAAAACTTAAACTTTGGTTGTGATAATATATCAACATGCCAATGCGGGGTGTAAAGCCCATGATGAGTTTTGTGGTCTTTCTAATGTAAAGTATGACTGTTCTATGAAGTTACACAAAGGGTCTAGATTATCTCACTTTTTACCAAATCCTTGATGGGACAATCAGGAAAATATTTGCAATTTTTTGCAACTGCGGGTTGTTAACTTTCTGTCACCCAGTTATTTTGTTTCCAGTCCAAGAAAAGGAGCTGGAGTCAGTTTTAGTTTTCACAAGCCAAAGTCTAATTGATTTTTGATGACATATAGAGTTGTACAGCGCTGGACTCCTTCGTGCAGTATGAATGAACACCACAGAAAGAGCAAAGTAATCAGAGTACATTACATATTTATCTTCTTGGGCATGCACGCCTCGGACCATAGGCTGGACTTCGGCACGCACCGCAGTCTACTTGGTCATATGCTGTCGCCGTGGGCAGGCCAGCATCTGCACATGCCAAGTCGTTGGAATGTGATGCAAGTGTGTGTGTGTGTGTGTGTGAGCATTTGAGGAAGTGTGTTGTTTCAGGTGTGCAGCTAAAGGCAACAAAAATGCTGATAAAGACCTTGAAAGTTCAACAGTGCTCTGTCTCTCAGCTTAAAGTTTTATGCTGATATGAATACAAGCAGCCTGGAGTTCTGTAAAGCTTACAAAGAGAAGGAGTTGAGAAATTTCATAAAAATGTTACCACAGAAACTAACTCGTATATGGTTAGTATCATTTCACAAATGGTAACCAGTGAATGATTAAGTTTACAGCCTAGGCATGCTGGCTGCCAGCATATCCAATGCTAACATTAGCATTGGTAGAAGTAAGTTTTCAGGCTGACATTGACATGTACTTTTGTTGATCACGACTGGTTTGTAAATGCATTTAAAAGGGAAAAACATCCAAAGGCTTGAATACTTTTCAAGGCATGAGACACTCAGAGGAAACAACCAAACTCACTAAAGCCTTTCAGAAACTCAACAGAGCAATCGCTCAAAAAGAATAAATAAATACCTAAATCAGTAATGCTGCTTTTCTCTTCAGTCATGCAATCAGTTGATAGTGGTGTAGTTTCCTCTTTCACTCTCAGTAGACAAACTGCACAAATTAGAGCCTTAAAAAGCCTAGTCAGCTCATGCCAGCAGCGGACCTGCTGCCTGTTTTTGCACGGGCACACAGATGCTCAAAATGAATGATTAATCACCCAAAACTCCATGGCATCAGAGGCAAAATCCGCAGCAGCATGTAAACAACAACAACACTCTTCTCTCAAGTTATTATCCAGAGCTAAAGTTTTAAAGCAGCATATTTGCCCTGTAAATCTTAGGTTTATTTACTAGGTTTTGAACTGATTCCATTTTCATACCTTTACTAGGATAACATTCAAATAAAGCAAAGAATGTCAATCAGCAGAACAATGTTTCCTGTTAAATTTGTCTGCAAATGACGAGTCAACAAGTAATATCAAAACACTGATAACATGTTACCTAGGATTAGCCTGGCATTCAGCAAATTGATCTACATAAAAACAAAAACACATTTATTAAAGGAGGGATATGATGAAAATTGACTTTTTTTTTTAGCTCTACATCATGTTATAATGTTATTCCCTCATCAAAAACATACCTGGAGTGTTGCCTTGACTCTTTCATGCATGTTTGAGAAATCCTTTAATCTCTCATGACTTGCTCTTTATGCTTGCTCACAGATTGTGCCGCTTATTTATTCAACGCTCCGCTTTGGAGCTGCAGTCTCCAGGCGAGACTCCCCCACTCAGCTCCTCCAGACTAGCAGCAGCAAATTACAAACACCTGGTGGAACTGCTGCACATCTGCAGTTGGAGCGTTTGATACTTATCAAACAAACTTCTTTTCAGTCCAACACTCCTAAAAACAATTGTAAACAGCATCATGGAGGAGCAGTGATGTGATGATGTGATCAAAGTGGAGAATAGAAATAACTTGGAGCTTCCTAAAGAGACAAAAGCCAATTTTAAGGTGTCGAGTTGTGGTCAAATTTCTTTCAGTACATACATATAAATACCCTTTGACATATACAGTAGTTTTATAACAACTGAACGTAACATAGTTAGTTGAATGTGCTATAAAATGGCACGATGTGTCTGTAAAACACATAATACCGCCCCTTTAACAACGTCTAACAGCAGAGTGTGTCCAGGACTGTGAGGTTCCATCAATAGTATGACAGAATTTGCAGTGTGAGTTCAAATGAGTGGGAAGCACAGCGCTCTAAAGACCAGAGCCAGCTCAGTAAATTAACATGTGCCTCTCCTTGGCAATCAATTCATTAAGCTAATGGATTTCTGTTTCAAAACCACTGTTAAAATTACAAAAGGCTGACTCTCTCCGAAATGAAAAAAATATTCATTTTCACTAAGAGTAATCGGATAAGGGGAAGCAATCACAATCACAAGCCCACAGGGAGGTCACGGGCGGGGGGGCGGGTTTACACAACCTGATCATCAATATGTGATCAGAGCAGCTGTTGTCAGCAGAAATCCAGTCAGGCAATCTCAGCGAAGCGCCATGAGGTCATGTCGCCGCTTGAAGGAGAAACAACACGTGGCTGATGGAGGGCGGGGTTGGGGGGATGCTGACGCTGAAGCCCACCTTGATTTGACGCTGGAATTTGCAGAAGGCTAACTTGTTTCTCACACAGCCAACTCTGTTTAACATCCGTCTGCGACGATGACGACAAACTAGCAAACAAGCAGAGACTGAGCGCAGGCTGCTGGAACCGCAGGGAGCAGTGAGATGAGAGGGAGGTCGCAGCGGCCACTGACCAGCAGATGTTACAGCAGTGAAAGGTCAGCTGTAATTCATCAGGGAGAGAGTTGAGCCTCCAAGCTGGACTGGTGCCCATGCAGACAAACTGGACTCACACCAGCCTGCCCAGTATTTACTTTCTTAACTTCGGACAGCCAAGGTGATCGATTCTGTTCTGCTGCTCAGAGGATCAAATTTACACAAGCAGGCTCAGATCAACAACTTTTACAAATCTAATTCCTGTTTTTACTCACTTGCTAATAATCTGTTCAGTTATTTTTATGATTCTCTTACTCCTTTCTTCATTAATTGATTTATTATTTATTGCGACTTAGTAAAACACCTGAAATTGGTCCAGATCACTAAAGAAAACTGTTATGGGATGGAGAACGTTGAAGTTGCAGACAGCGTAGAAAGATGGGAGCAGCTGTGTGCTCTCTGTGACCCATACGGCTCACCGTACCTCTGACTTCTATCATTATCAGCAAATTGTGCAGCTGGTGCTCTGGGGCCAAAGAGTCAGTCAAATATTGCTCCCAGGGGGGGAAATTAAGCAAACCGGGTGAGTGTGGCAGCTCAATAGCACAGCAGAGAGATTGCACTTTATACCCCCGTTGTCCTGATCTGAGCTTTGTGTAGGCCGTGGTAAGTAGAGCTGGAATGACATGCCCCGAGGTCAGAGCAGTGAGCAGTTACCATGCGGTAGATGCTAAATGGCCCGTTCACATGGAATGTGGCTTGACCTGCATCTACACATCTGCTGATGAAACAAATTCACACTTTCATTCTACAAACTTCCTCAACTTTAGTTACGCTTAAGCCGGGGCACAGTTAGAGGAAATAGCAAAAAAAATAAATTCACAATTTATTACAAACTTTAATTTATTCCATGAGGTTTTGGTATTGCTGATATATATATATATATATATATATATATATATATATATATATATATATTTATTTTTTTTTTTTTATATTTTTCTCAAACCGTCTTTCATTACAGTAACAGCTGCATGTCTTTTCAGGTATGTCCACACCAGCTGTTCAAATCCACAGTTTTTTACAGATTCTCCACCAGACCTAGGCGTGAGCTTTGATTAGGCCACACTTAACACATAAATCTAAACCTTGTTACGGAGCACAGAGAGTAACACACATTTGCAACTGTGCCTTTTTTTTTGTCAGAGCTAATCAGCGCTGCAGACTTCAGTGACAAGTTGAAATGGTTCACCATATCTTGCAAAATTCTCGGAAAGTTGAAACTGAAATCCTTGAACACCGCTCAATGTCCTTCACACAGCAAGCACAGAGCTCTGCGGTCGATTTCAGCAAAGATATATTTAGAACTCAATGCCTTATTAAACCTTTGAATTCTGTGTCAATGTTTTTTTAATTTAATGTTTGCTGACATTTCTGAGTGCAAAGAGCTAATATCCTGAAAGCCGTTCAACACATTTCCTGAGGCACAAAACTGCACCAGTGATCTAATGAAAGAAATAGTGGCCTTCCAAATAAAAGATGTGTTGTCGTATTTTATGCACCTATAACAAAGTAAAGGAATTTGCTCTTTTACTCCAAACTCACAGTTCAAAGGTCATCAGCGGCCCACATGTGGCCCATTAGTCTGATCCAGACTCTTCTGTTGTAGCTCTGAGTGAATGTTCCAGGCATTTCGCCCACCAGAAAGTGAGCATTGATCCCAGTCTGTTTTCTTCCAGGACTGCGCTCCAGTTAGCTCCACTCATAGTCTCCTGGAAGAGACGCATTTCCATCCCATGATGCTTCACAATCATGGAGGAGCAGGAGCACGTTGTGCTACTCTTCTAACTCACAGAGGGTTCCATCGGAGCACATTCTTTCACATGTATATTGTTTTTTTTATAACAAATAAAAATAATAATAAAAAGCTGATGTCATTTAAAGCCATGCACAAACAGTACTCACATAGGCATTTTTCTTTGCACCGTCACAAAACTTCATCCACCTCAGTTCTGTCTGCCTGAGTAGGCTGCTGCTTCTACTAGCTTGAACAGGCCGTCTGTTGATTAATTTGAACTCTGCTGCCACCTGGTGGCGGGAGGCTTGTTTAGCAGTCAAGCATGAATAAAGAAAATAATAAAGTTCTGCTTCTCACACCCCACCATGCCTCTATTTGACAAGTACTGACCAGGGCTGGATTTACAAGGATGTTGGCCCCTTAGCTGGAACAATTTTTGGTGCCCAATCCGCTACAGAAAAATTATTTTGTTAATGCAACAAAGGGGTGGGCGATATGGATTTTTGTGGCGATACTGTGATATTGATAAAAATTATGATTAAACAAATATTAATTACTTATTTTTTGGGGTAACTGTTTGGCTGTAAGTGCATGGCACATTAGTCTTAGCACTACAAACACAAATATTGTTCTTAAAAAGCATTTCCATTTACAACAGGCTTCTTTAGGACAGCACTTACTTAGAGAAGTGTGAGTTATATTACTGCTGCACTAAGTAACTGCATTAAATCATATTTTCCAAATTTACCGATATATGTGCTTGTGAAACTATCAGTGGAGAAAATAGCAAAAATAACATCTTCAACAATGCAGTCAATTTTCTATTTTTATTTACCATCAAACACTGAAATTTGGCGAGACAACAATAAATCAAAGATCCTTATCATAATCAGAGATTTTTCACAATAATTGATCAATAATGCAAAAAATGCCCACCCTCCTGTCTCTACAATAAAACATGGGTCATTCAGTTGGGATGATTTACCAGCCGCAGGGTTGACTCTATTGTGATCTAACGCTGCCTTCGTTTCTTTTTTTTTCCACTGCTGTCAGTGAGAATATAGCTCTCTTTTTGGAAGCTTTGTTCTTTTCTTCTATAGAAAGCAGCAGTTTAGCAGATCTGAGACAAGTCTGGTATTTCTGAAGAGTATTTGACATTCTGCTGCTGTGACAGACTTGACGACCTTTCATGGGCCCAACAAAGCTCCTGCTTTGTTTAAATGTTATATTTAAAGCAAACTGTGGGCTCTTTGAAAATAAATATGCTCAAGTAAAATTACTGGAGCCCTTTGTCACAGACTGCGCTATTTATATAAACCCAAAGACCTGTCACAGCCGACTCCATACGAGAGGATGAGACTGAAACAAGTGCAATAAGAAAATGCAAAGCACCAAAGAAGCCGAGCGACTTCAACACAACAAAAGCAAACAATTATTAATGACATAGAAGCGCTGGGCTTTAAAGACTTATTTATAGGCGTTCCAAATTAGAGACAGTAGACAAACCGATGAAGTGCTTAGCCCTGCGTTTGAAGGATTTCAGAAATAGAAACAGATGACTTCAGGGTTTAAGAAAATCCAAGACAATGAAGGAACAAGTCGATGAAGAAGCTTTTTTTCAAAGGCTGTTTACTTGGTATTTTGTGAAAAACTTTCCTGCTGAGAGTTGATAGAAAGAGAAAATATCTAAGCATAAGTCAGTGTCACATAAAACTGTCCACCGATGTGAGAACATGTGACATTCTCTGGTGAAGCAACGTATAGCTATTTACAATAGCTAAACGTAAATAGCTATTATAAAAAAACTATTCATCCCCTCAGGTGTTGGATCTTTTACAAATCTTTCATGATCAAAATTCTTGACAAAAAAATATTTAATGTCAAGATAAAATGGGGTGAATATTAAATGCACTTATTTTGTGTACGTATTTTAAATTAATTTTCATTATTTTTTTAGATAACAAATTTCACTTTGACAGTAAAGCACTGATAAGACTTCACCTCCCTTCTCACACAGGTCTCTTAGACGTGTCCCTTCTCAAACACTCAATAAGTGCAATAAGAAAATGCAAAGCAACAAAGAAGCCGAGCGACTTCAACACAACAAAAGCAAACAATTGATAGAAGCTGATAGAAACTTCTATCAACTCACTAAGTTGATATAACTTAGTGAGTTCTAAGTTCTATCAACTTAGAACTTAGAACTTTTTTCTTTTCTTTTAAATTTGTCGTAGTGCACGTGACAACAGGGAGCTAAATATGGGAGCGGCAGAAGAAAAAAAGCTCTACGGGCACAAAACAGAAAATGGAAGAGAGAGATCAATAAAGATATTGAAGGGATGAAGAAAAGCTTTTCAAAGTGACTGAAAGGTAGGTAAGTTATGTCAGTGTATCAACAGGAGAGTTGTAAATATTCAGGTTAGCTTAAGCGAGTCTAAAATGACAGGTGATTGTTGTCTTACGATCATTTGCTGTAGTTGTAGGCCTATTTACAATATTACAGATAATAAATAACTAAATAAAGACCTAATAAGTTGTTTATAGTGAATCATAAAGCTGATAAATTATGTAACAAGGGTCCCCGACACTGTGTTTCTTTTTATATTACATAAGTGATATTTTGCTACATGTGTTAGAACGTCAGGAAAAACTGTCAAGATAACTAATATTGTAAAACAGAAGTCATACATTAAGTCAGAGGTTTGCCGTTAGGGAGCGTCCTTATGCTGAACTCTGGTTAAACTCAGCAGGTGATAAAAACCATAGAAGTAATTGCAACTTTAGCGTTATGCTAACATGAGTGTGCAGTGATGCAGTGGAGGCATAGTCAGTGCTTACCGGGATTATTACAATAAACAACTGCAACGCTTGTCCTTTTATGCTGTGTTAATACAGATTTAAAGGCAGTACATTCAATAAACATCTGTTTGACTAAAACAAATTTAGTATTTTTTAGTAAGGCATCATATCTCAACAAAAAACTGTAGTAACTTACAAAAGATCCAACATAGGAGTGTGTTGTTCAGTTTTGTCTAATAAAATATGTCCACCGTCATAGAATGGTAAGACATAAGAGTGCTTTTATTTTATTCTGATTTAATCCCCTTTTCTGCACCTGTCAAGAGATGGTGTTTTTAAATGGGAAAAGTTGATTTATGAAAGTAGTTCTGTAGTTAATGACATCAGGCTGGAGAAATTAATATTGATTTTGTATAAGCCTTACTAAACATTGGAATGCTAGAAAATGTACAACATAGAGTTGAAAGAATGTTCCACATTCAATTTGAATATGATGCCCATTACTGAGGGCATCATATTCTTCACTAGTCTGATACTCAAAAGTCATTATACTCTGTTATGTGCTTCGGGCACATTATGATTTTTGTTTACTTTTTCTTTGCTTTCTTATAGACTTTAGTTGAATGACCTCTTGTTAATATGTTTTGGAGTTTGGATAATTTATTATTTTTGGTCATTTGATTACGTTAATTTGTGGCGCTGTTGGTCCGCCTATAAATAGGCTGGGTTTCGGCATGTTGGGATCTCCGCCCTTCCACTCGCTCCACCACCACAGGGGAAGCGTCTTGACACGGTGCGTGCTCGTCTAGTCGCTGTGGGCCACAGCTGACGTTTCCAGCCTGCCGTGCGGTGTTTCTGTTAGCCTTTGTTTGTTTGCTTTTTCGTTGTGATTTTAGTCTGGTGGGACCGGTTGTCCTGGTTTCGATCTTTCTTTTGCATTAGGTTCTTTTTTGCTTTAGTCGGTACTAGTAGGGGCTTCGACGGCCCTGTACAGGGTTGGCCCCCCTACTGTACCGTTTTGTTCTGTTTGATCGGCTCACCAGGTCCAACTTTCTGTTACTACTTCTAGGGTTTTGTTTTTCTTTTTTTTTGGGACACGGAAAACTGAGGGCCTTTAACTCTATTTCTTCACACAAAATCAGAAGCAGCTGAACCAAGAAAACCAAAGTTCCAGAGAGTTTAAGAATAAAATATTTTGTTGAACCCTCATTATTGTCTCGTGTCCTCAAATATGTTGTGCCCTTGTAACAACTCCTAAATATTCCTAAGCACCTTGATAATTATTTGAGTGGCATTTGCAAGTGTATTGTGGACTTTAGATCTCCCTGGAAAGCAACATTCAGCAGGTACTGTACAAAGGTGAGCACTGTACACAAAAAATGCCGCTTATTATGCTACCACTTTAAATACTCAAGCTAACAGGCTGTGAGATTTACTAATCTTTTAGGCTAAAAACAAGGTTACATATTAGACACAAAACTTGTTAGCATGCATAAAATCCATTTGCTGATTAATCACAATCGAAGTAGAGCTCAAGTAAAACTAGTTTTCTGTATAACAGCTGTAATCAACAAATTTAGTTAACCGTGTGTGAAATTTTGGATTATAGTAGTGTTTAAATTAAAACTCCCAACAAACATGAGCATTTTTTGCATGTATATGGTCTACAAAAATATTCTAATTGTATTGTTTTGTGTATTTCTGCTTTCAGTTCTCATTTGACAATCAAGAATCTGTCAAGACTCTTTTTAACAACATTTCAAAATGAAAAAGAGACTTCCAAAATTACCAAGAATCTCATTTAACAGATTCTTGCCCAGCATTCTGGCTGTTTTCTGGACAGGCTATTGAAGTATAATTGTGATTTTTTTGGAGTACACTGAAGTTGAAACCAGTGTGGAAATTAAGGACTTATATAGATTCCATGTATTCCTGTCAATTGGAAGGCCACTGGTGGAAGATTTGGTTGAAGAGCCAAATCAAAAAAACCACGTCGATTCTCATGTTGATTTAAGATCAGCATTGATTATTTTTAAAGTAGCTAATTTTCAGAGGGAATCAGTGTCATTGCCATTTATTTGTAATTTTACTGGTTGAAAAGTTTAATAGCTTAATCATAATCTTCATTCACTTTTCTCCACAGTTTTTAGGTTCTTTAAGATTATTGTGATGATATAGCAACAACTATTATTTATC